AAAAGATATTTCCTCCTTGGAAGAAAAGCTATGACACACCTAGACAGTGTATTAAAAGCAGAGACTCACTTTGCTGACAAAGTTTCCTATAGTCAAAGCTATGGGTTTTCCAGTGGTCATGTACAGATGTGAGAACTGAACCAGAAAGAAGGCTGAGCACTGAAGAATTGATGCTTTAGAACTGTGGTGTTGGAGAAGACTCTTGAGAGTCTCTTGGACTGCAAGATCAAACCAGTCAATCTTAAAGGAAGTCAACCCTGAATATTCATTGGAAGGACTGATGCTGAAGCTGAAGCTCCAACATTTTGCCACCTTATGCAAAGAGCCAACTCACTAGAAAAGACGCTAATGCTGGGAAAGACTGAATGCAAGAGGAGAAGGGGATGACAGAGGATGAGATGGTTGGATGACATCACTGACTCAAGGGCCATGAGTTTGAGCAAACTCTGGGAGATAGTGAAGGACAGGGAAGCCTGGAGAGCTGCAGTCTATGGGGTCAAAAAGAGTCAGACATAAGTTAGCAACTGAACAACAGCAACAATATGAACTAGATTTTCCTGACATTTAACCTGGTCTCCTGGGAACAGAGTACCATAAAAATAATTTCCTGTCTAACTAGACCAGTGCCCACAGGGAAGTGTTGTGATCAGAGGTGGGAGTAACAATGGAAACAGTGCCTAATGAGCAGACATGGGGAGCAGTAAATATCTCCTCTGCTGTAGTCCCTCAGTCTAAGTAACCTATAGCTGCACAGGACATGGTTGTTGGTTTTGAAGTTCTACATCTGAAAAAGGACTAATGCTTCCCTCTTTCCTTCTGACCTGCCTGGGAACAGAGCTTCAGTCTTCATCATTCACCATCCAGGGAGGAACTTGAATATCCACACAGGGACTTTCTTCTGATAGTCCCCATCTAGGTGAGTGTGAGTTCTATAGATACTTCAAGAAAGGTTCAGAGAGAATGGAAGTACAAAACTTTCACCTGAGGTCACCTGAGTGCCTAATTAGCTTATACCAGAGCAGAGATATTAGTCATGCTGTGTTGCTAGGTTGACTAATTATAATTTGTTTATTTAATATGCTCAAAGGAGAAGTGTCTGATAGACTCAGAAACACAAGAGACTTTGCTGACAATTAAGTGATGGGAATGGAAGTCCTATTCGGAGACATGAATGAAGGAGGAACTGGGAGCTCAAACTGGTTCCGGTAAAGTAGAGCAGATTAGAAGCTTACAGTTACGGAGGAAAGGAAACATAGGTTTGGAGGCATTAGTTGTGAAACATATACCTTTTATCAGCTTTCTAAGATGGGCTATATTTGGCATCTTCCATTTTTCCCCACATCTATTTAATTAAGTACTGCCTTGGAACAGAGTTCTTGAGACATACATTTCACAGTATCTTCTCTCACAGTGAATGTTCACATGAAAAAGCTGTATTTGATATGCAAGATGGTATACTAATGAGCTTTAGTTTGCAACTCTTTGTTACCAAGTGGTGGGAAGGCAATAGAGACATTTGTAAGGTAGAAGAAAATAATCAGCCAAACTCATCACAAGTTATAATCATTCACTTAGTGACATGAAACAAGTATGTTAAATTTTGTATATACATTGAGTAAATTTGTCTACCAACTTAGAAGAATGGATACCTCTTCCCCCACTTTTTGGGTAAAGATATTAATGGTTAGAATGTGTCTGTAGTCTCACTAAGTACAAACAGCTGATACCATGCTAGTTCTGAGATTCAAACGGGTTTTCTGGCTCAAAAACTTTTCATTTAAAATCATTTAGAACCTCTATACCACTTACATTTAAAATCTTCATCTACTGTTGAACATGGTGTATTTTCTGTTGTAAACTGTGGGCTAATTCCCTTTGCTCCTTTTTCTAGTAGAGTTCAGTTAGTAAAATGCTTTATCATTACAAAGATAATGATTCATGTTTCCTTTGATAAATTACTTTAGGGTACCTTATTAAGTATTCTGGGCATCAGGGGAGTATAACTGGGTTTGGGATGCTGCTGGAAGCAAGGAGTCTCTCTTTTTCACTGTCTCCCAGAGACTGCCTGAGCTTATCAGAGCTTGTTTTGTAGATAAAGGGGTTCAGCATGAGGGTTGCCATAGTGTAGATCACTGAGGCCGTCAGACTCATCCAAGAAGATGAAATGCCTGCGGAACTGAGATACACATACCTCAAGGGCAATGTCCTAGAGCAAGGCAACCACCAAGAGGTGGGATCTATGGGCAGTTTTTATTTTCCTCCACATGTTCTATTGTTTCTTCTCTCTCAGTTTTTTTTTTTTTTAACTTCTTGTCCAGGGATCAAACCTGGGTCTCCCATACTACAGGCAGATTCTTTACCATCTGAGCTACCAGGGCAGCCCAGCATAAATTTTCTTTTAAGAGAAGGCAAAAAAAGAGCTCATATTAAATGGAATGCCACTTCCTCAAGAAGCTTGCCAACTTGAATTTAGGTACTATTTCTGCATTTCTTATGGTAAAGATAATTTTCTATTAATAGTTAGCACAATGTCCTAATTATTGCGACTGAAAGTAGGAAAAGCCAAGAAGTAACAAACCCAGCAGACCATAATGTGCTGTATTTGTGTGTGTGTGTCTGTTTGTGTGTGTTTGCAATGAGCATTTCTCTGGGCAGTGATACTTGGGTTTATATACTCCAAAATGAAACCCCTTAAAAGACAAATCCTGCAGTGTTAACAGCAGAAGGGTATAAGGAGTGGATCCGCTTCTACTCAGAGGAATGAATCAAAACAAACAAACAAACAAAAAAATGTGAGGAACAACATGTGAATTAAGGTCTCAGCTGTAGCAGGGAGGTCACCTTATTCCTCAGCAGCCTCTGACACCATCTCTCATAACTCTCCCAAGTGCTTATTCCCCTAGACACTTTGGCTTCCTTTTAAGTCTAGAACTTGAAACAAGTGACATACTTAGGACCTTTGCACTGACTCTTTCTCCAACAGGGCACACTCTTTCACCAGGTAATTTTGTGTCTCTGCTTTGTCTTTCTTCAAGCTTCTGTTCAAATTTCTCCTGGTTTGCAGATCTTCAACTCCCATTAAAATGTAACACCTTCATTCACTCTATTTTTATTTTTTTTAATTTTTTTAAAATTTTTATTAGTTGGAGGCTAATTACATCATTGCAGTGGGTTTTGTCATACATTGAAATGAATTAGCCATGGATTTACATGTATTCCCCATCCCGGTCCCCCCTCCCACCTCCCTCTCCACCTCACTCTATTTATAATTATTTTTTTCCCCTAAAACCTGTCACCAGGTATATGCTTTTTGTTTGCTAATTTATATTCTTTCTTTATTATTTATCATTGAGAGTTTTGTTCTCAGCATCCTATAATTTTAGCCCAGAATACAGTCAATTGTTGTTGTTTAATAGTTAATTTATGTCTGACTCTTTTGCAGTCTCATGGACTATAATCTGCCAGGCTCCTCTACCCAAGGGATTTCCCAGACAAGAATACTGGAGTGGGTTGCTATTCCTTCTCCAGGGAATCTTCCTGACCCAGATATTGAACTCTTATCTACTGCAGTGGCAGGTGGATTCTTTAGCACTGAGCCACCTGAGAAGGCCAAGACACAGTATTCAACATAAATTCCTCAAATGTATGAAATAATTTTGCATTTAAACTGTGTAATAAGATTACCTGTTGGTGGAAAACTGACTATGGGAATTTCTATTCACTGTTGTCACAGCTTCCCTGGTGGTTCAGACCATAGAGTCTGCCTGCAATGCAGGAGTCCTGGGTTCTATCCCTGAGTCAGAAAGATCCCCTAGAGAAGGGAATGGCAACCCACTCTAGTATTTTTGCCTGGAAAATCCCATGGACAGAGGAGACTGGTAGGCTGCAGTCCAGGGTTTGCAAAAGGTCAGACATGACTGAGCTGAAATGAACTGAAATGAACAGATACCACTTATGATGTCACAGAAAGCCATTTAAAATGACTGAATATAATTTACAGCATTTCACTATGTTAAGGTCTATATGTGTAAAAATTAGTCTTCTTTCTTTCTGTCCTAGTAGTGATCACTACCACATGGTACCAGGCAACAATACACAAATTTCAGAATTTATTCTTCTGGGATTTTCAAAGGAACCAGAATTGCAGCCCCTCATATTTGGCCTTTTCCTATCCATGTACCTGATCACTGTGTTTGGAAACCTGCTTATCATCCTGGCCATCATCTCAGATGCCCACCTCCACACACCCATGTACTTCTTCCTCTCCAACCTGTCCTTTGTAGACATCTGTTTCGTCTCCACCACTGTCCCAAAGATGCTGCTGAATATAATAACTTAAACCAAAGTCATTACCTATGAAGACTGCCTCACCCAGATGTATTTTTTCCTACTCTTTGTACAGTTGGACAACTTCCTTCTGACTGTGATGTCCTATGACCGCTTCATAGCCATCTGCCACCCCCTTCATTACACAGTCATCATGAACCCTGTTCTCTGCAGACTGCTGGTACTGATATCATGGCTAATAGGTGCCTTGAATTCCTTGTTACAAAGCTTACTGGCATTAAAACTGTCTTTCTGTACCATCTTGGAAATCCCCCACTTTTTCTGTGAATTCAAAGAGGTGATCCAACTTGCCTGTTCTAACACCTTTCTTAATAATGTGATGATGTATTTTGCAGTTGGACTGTTTGGTGGTGGTCCATTCACTGGGATATGTTACTCTTACTCTAAGATAGTTTTCTCCATACATGGAATCTCGTCAGCTCAGGGGAAGTATAAAGCATTTTCCACCTGTGCATCTCACCTCTCAGTCGTCTCCTTGTTTTATTGTACAGGCTTAGGAGTGTACCTTAGTTCTGCTGCTACCCATGGCTCACACTCAAGTGCAACAGCCTCTGTGATGTACACAGTGGTCACACCCATGCTGAACCCCTTCATCTACAGTCTGAGAAATAAAGACATAAAGAGATTTCTAAGAAGATTCTTCAGGATGGCAGCTATAAAAGGGCCAATTGTCCTGGGGCTGAGGAAGTGTCAGTTATTACAGCACTCAAAGCATTAGAGGCAGAAATTGTGATTCTTGATCAGATTTCAGAAAGAGCTCTTATTCCTTGTATTTGTTTCCTGGCCTTTCTATTTCTTTGATTTCAACTTCTCCATATAATTTAAGTAAGTCACTTGATTAAGTTTTCTATTCTGTCTGGTATACAGATATTTTCCTTACTTCTCTAAGTTTATTAATTTTTTTCTGAAATTGGATGAGAAATATTTGAAAATTTCCATTTATTTCATGGGGAAATTTTTTTTTCCTCATTTTTTTCTCTTTAAAGGAGAGCTATCTTCCCAAGTATTTTTTTTTTTTAATTTTCCATAAAGAATTGTCTTGGGTGGTATCACTCACATAGAAAGGCCACATTTAACAGCCAGAGTAACCTATATAATTCCAGTGCAGAGTGAAATCTGAAACCAGTTTGTTATTTTGAGTCTCTCATTTTTTGTCTACATCATAACCTTATTTCCATGATATCTTGATAATATCAACTTTATTCATACTACTGAGTTTTATAACTACTATTCTGGAGTTATATGCTGCTTGTTAAACCTGTGTCCCTAGTATCTACCATAGTTACCTATTAAAAATCATCATCAAATGTGTATTTCCCAGTAAAATCTATACTGAAAATGCAAATATGAATAAATAAACTGACCTAATATGGTCTTTGTGCTCCAAAATTGCTTCTAATGGTGACTGCAGCAATGAAATTAAAAGACTCCTGCTCCTTGGAAGAAAAGCTATAAAAATTCTAGACAGCATATTACAAAACAGAGACATTACTTTGCCAACAAAGGTCCATATAGTCAAGGCTATGGTTTTTTTCAGTAGTCATGTATGGATGTGAGAGTTGAACCATAAAGAAAGCCAAGCACTAAAGAACTGATGCATTCAAACTGTGGTGTTGAATAGGACTCTTGAGAGTCCCTTAACAGCAAGGAGATCAAACCAGTCAATCCTAAAGGAAACCAACCCTGAATATTCACTGGAAGGACTGATGCTGAAGCTGAAGCTCTAATACTTTGGTTACCTGATGTGAAGAGCAGAGTCAATGGAAAAGATCCTGATTCTGGGAAAGACTGAAGGCAGGAGAAGGGGAGGACAGGATGAGATGGTTGGATGGCATCACCAACTCAATGGGCATGAGCTTGAGCAAACTCCAGTATATGGTGAAGGACAGGGAAGCCTGGCCTGCAGCAGTCCATGGGGTCACAGAGTCAGACATAACATCAACTGAACAACAGCAACAATATGGTCCTATTGTCAGAGATAACCTTAAATATGTCACAGCAAATTTTCAACCTTACATGTAAAAATTTTCTATCTATACATCTACTCACTGAAAAATGGAAAATTGGTGTCCAAGAGAGAGGGAGTCTATATATTGGAGTTAGTGATTGGTTGGTGTGTTTTATAATTGTTTTCCTGGATCACTCAATTTTGACTTTAACATTTCCTGTCCTGATTACGCTTATGACTCCTCTGTTGCTCTGAATGAAGGATCTTCACTTTTCTAAATTTCATCATAACCCCTAAAGATTCAGAAGCAGTGAATGAATAATATCAAGCTGAACCACTTCATATGTTCTTCCTCCTCAGGAATCTTCAGTCTTCATGATCAAAAGATGACTCACAAGCAAGCTTAAATTTCTACCCAGTCATGTGATTCCAGATCACCATTTACTTTGGCACAACGTGCACATCCTTCCAGCCATTCGAAGTTTCTTAGAACAGAACTTAAAGTTCCTCATTAAGGAGAAACCAATGAACCAACTGATAATCTAGTTATCTGAAACAAGTTTAAATAATAATCATGAGTATTGTCTCCAAATCAAAATGTATGCCAAAAATAAAAAGCAGTAGATTGTTATGCATGCTCTCATTACTGTTTGCTTTGTTGTTTTAGTTAGCCATTGCTGCATAACAAGCTATCCTAAATCATATAGTTTATCACAATGTCTTTCTTATCAAGTGAAATTAGATAGCTGGAGGTGCTCTGATCACTATTCAGATGCTCATAAGTCCACATAGCTGAGCTCAACATTGTGCACATTGTGTATGATCCTATCATCCCAATGTGCTCACTCCATACCTGTGTGCTCACCTCACATCAATAAATCCAAGAATAGTAGACTTTCAACAAATCCCCAAGGGATGAACCACACTATTTATATCTATATTAGATACATGTGTCCGACATGTATCATCTTGATTCTTTTCATATATAAGATTTCTCAGCCCAACTACAAACCACCAGCTTCTGGAGTTCTTTGCCCAAGAGCTTTATTTGACAATCAACTTTGCCTGGTCTGCCAACTTGCATGACTATCTAGTAGTTGCAGTGAAATAATACCCCCTGCAATGTAGTTCTTCTCATACAGCAAGTCCATACCTGACCTCTAGAAATTGATAAATATTTCATGCAAAAACATAAAATAGTGCATTTTTTTGCTTCTTCTGTTAGTCTTTTCCAGGCAAGTTGTTTCTCACATCTGCATTCAAGACTCTCATTTAGCGTGTCTGTCTTTCTTTATGTTTCAAGTTAGTTTCTCTGGCATCATGCCTCCCCTGAGGTGGAACAGGTCAATGCCATGTGCAACATTTTGCCCTGTGATTTCTCCCACAAAAAAATTGAGAGCATATGAGTGAGAGTCCAGCTTCCCCAGCTGTGCAGAAGATCCAGTGACTACATGCCCATCCAGAAAACTGACATAAATTTCATGACAAGGGAGTGGGGAGAGATTAGAAGAACAGCAACCAGGACTCTTGAAGGTCATCATAGATAAGCAGATTCTAACAACTCATCATGAATTCTATCAGGAAATGTTCTAAAACTGTTTACAGTTGTAAGTATCTAAGAATGTGCTAAAAAAATGAACTGTACATTTAAAATTGGTGAATTGTATGGTATGTGAATCATATCTTAATAAAGCTATTTTTAAAAGTTCAAAAATCTTTAAAGAAGGAAATAGGAAACTATAGTCCAATATATCAGATGAATATACATGAAAATATTCTAAACAAGATAGTGGTAAACCAAATTCTATGGAGCATTAAATGGATCATAACCCAGAATCACATGGGGTTAATCTCTGGGACACAAGTAAGGTTTAACAAAAGCAAATCAGTCAGTGTAATACACCATGTGAATCGAATTGAAGGTAAACATCATATGTTAATGACCATAGATGCAGAAAAATCATTTGACAAAATTCAACATTCTTTCGTGATAAAAATTCTACCAAAGTGACTATAGAAGGAATGAACCTCAACAGTAAAATGACCTATATGAAAAGCCCATAGGTGACATTATAAAAGTTGAAAAAAGTTGAAAATATCCTCTTTAAGATCAGACATAAGACAAGAGGGCCCACTCTTCCCACTTCTATTCAACATAGTCCTGAAAGTTCTAGTTAGAGTATCTAGGAAAGAAAATACAGGCATCCTGAAAGGAAAGAAAGACATCAATCTGTCTGTTTGAAGATGAAAAGTCTCTATATGTATGTATCTATATATCTATATCTATCTATGAAAACCTAAAGGCTGCATCAAAAAACATTAGAACACATAAACAAATTCAGTAAATTTGCAGGATAGAGAATCAGTATGTAAAAATCAATTATGTCTACATACACTAACAATGAACAATCAAGAAAAGAAAACTCTCAATTATAATAGCATCATAAAGGGTGTAAAAATACTCAGAAATCAATTTAACCAAGAGGTCAAATTCCTACACACTAAACCATTTTAAGACTTTCATGAAAGAAGTGGAAGCAGGCACAAATAAATGAAGCAATATCATATGTTCTTGGATCAGACCAATTAATATGTGTAAATGGTAGAAAACAAATGAAATAATTACTTTTCCTATCTTAGTGCCTCAGGGACATCACATTTTCTAAATCTAAAGCATATTTTTGTTTATGCAATGAGAAAATCTCTATCAGCTAAAAAGTCTGAATATCCCCAAATTGAGTTTAAATTTCCTCATCTACTTAAGATGAGATTATAACACAGTATGTCTTTCCCCAGGGGAAGCTAAATGAATAAATTCAGAAATGTAATTTCAGTTACTTGAACAAAGTTTTATTGGCTAAATGTCTGTGATGTTGGTGGTGGTTTAGTCGCTAAAACGTGTATGACTTTTTGTAATGCTATGAACTGTAGGCTTCTCTGTCGATTGGATTCTCCAGACAAGACTACTGGAATGGGTTGCCATTTCCTTCTCCACCTGATCTTTCTGGACCAGGGACTGAACTGCTGTCTTCTATATTGTAGGTAGATTATCGACTGAACCACCAGGGAAGCTGAATAAATACCTATCAGTTCAGTTCAGTTCAGTCACGCAGTCGTGTCCGACTCTTTGCGACCCCATGGACCACAGCATGCGAGGCCTCCCTGTCCATCACAAACTCCCAGAGTTTACTCAAACACATGTCCATCGAGTCGGTGATGCCATCCAGCCATCTCATCCTCTGTCATCCCCTTCTTCTCCTGTCCTCAATCCCTCCCAGCATCAGGGTCTTTTCCAATGAGTCAACTCTTCGTATGAGGTGGCCAAAGTACTGGAGTTTCAGCTTCAGCGTCAGTCCTTCCAATGAACACCCAGGACTGATCTCCTTTAGGGTGGACTGGTTGGATCTCCTTGCAGTCCAAGGGACTCTCAAGAGTCTTCTCCAACACCACAATTCAAAAGCATCAATTCTTCGGCGCTCAGCTTTCTTCACAGTCCAACTCTCACATCCATACATGACCACTGGAAAAACCATAGCCTTGACCAGATGGACCTTTGTTGGCAAAGTAATGTCTCTGCTTTTTAATATGCTATCTAGGTTGGTCATAACTTTCCTTTCAAGGAGTAAGTGTCTTTTACTTTCATGGCTTCAGTCACCATCTGCAGTGATTTTGGAGCCCCCCAAAATAAAGTCTGACATTGTTTCCACTGTTTCCCTATCTATTTGCCATGAAGTGATGGGACCTGATGCCATGATCTTTGTTTGCTGAAT